GGGGGGGGGGGGGGGGGGTTGGCAATAGGCTGCGGAGGTGTGGACTCTGGGGTTCGTGGCTTCAACTTTTGAGGGTGAAACCCTCGGATAATTCATATCAATGGATACGTGATAGGGGCGGGGAGTGCTTCGCTTGTTGGACTGTGCTAAAAATGAATTCGGTGGGCATCAGCCAAATAGCTAGTCTCACGCATTTGCAAAGGCCAAAAATTCCATGCATCATCGCTTTATTTCCTTGATGAGATTGTGAATATTAACTCGCAGTGTCATTCATATTTTTCAGTGTTGACCTGGTTTTTATTTTGTTGATAGTGAGAATTCCATTGGCTTGCAAAAACATGACGCAATTCTTTTTTTATTTCATTCCCTTGTGCAATACAGGAAAAAATATATCGGTTTGTTTTTCGCATTTCGCGATGTTTTTTTCGTTTTATTAAATTCTTGGGGGAACATTGTGGAGTGAGAAAATTCCTCGTTGGTGGCGAGCTTATATCTATGGGAAACCCTTCGACTTGACCGAAAGGGAAAAAAAAATCTGAAAAGAGAGGGAGTGGAGCATGAGAATAAAAGTCCGGCGAGCTGCTCCATGGATGATGGTGAGATATAAGGGCAGAGTCGATTGAGAGAAATGAGGTGAAAATAAGCGTGGGATATGCTCGTGTATATAGTACATGGTCATGTAACCTGAGACACGGAAGGGATGAGCTTGTATATCGATCGATCATTGGAGAATTTCACGCCTCTCGAGATATCGTTAAGTGCACTATGCCTTTGCCCGTTTATTGCGAGATTCTTGTGGTTTTATCTGTACCATCCCTTTGTCAAGCCAACCTTTTGACAGTTTTTATTAATAATATGGGTGTCAACGGGTCTGCGCGGATCTTCAACTCGAATTTGTACGCGGAGAGAAAAGGCGGAGAACAATTATTGACAAAATCTTGGGAAATTTTACTGCATGAGAGGTAATTGTGGGGTGAAAGGGCTTTCAGTAAAAAAATACAGTTTGCGGAGGATATGTTAAGATTCAGTGAAAAAATGATAACTGTGGGTGCGAAAATTACGGCTCCCTGGATGTACGGCTCCCTGGTGTAAAGGATTTTTTTGCAGCGGCGCAAACGACATGAGAACGGACGAAAGTGGAAATTTACATGAAAAATTATTTTCACGAGTAGTTCACCGATTTTCAAAGATCTATGACCAACTATTGATCTTTATTACTGAAATTTGGCGATAGTTTCTTAAGTATTTGAGATGCGTTCCTGAAAAACAGTGACACTACTCTGAAACTTCGTGATAATGTCCCTGAAAATTAGTGAAATTTGTGACTAAATTACTGAATTTCAGAGTTTTGCAACTCACTAAATTTCACAATTGCGAATCCCGAATAATAATAGGGGTTGATATTCCTGAACGTCAGTGGCATGATTAGGACAATCAAAATTTTGTGTTCTCTGCGTTCTCTACTATACAGTATTTTGCAAAAGTTATCCTTCTTGATTACAGAAAACTTTCTAGACATTAAGCAATCATTCACGTTCGCTAACACAATTTTTAACGAAATCCCGTATAAATTTTACAATTTCAGGGAAAATTACCCTGACGTTTAGTAATTTTTTAGCAAAGAAAAATTTACAAGACCTACAACTGAATTTCGCTCCACACTTCCTTGATTTCTTTAATAATTTTTCTACAACTTTTCTATCACGAACAGACGGTAATTTAATTTTATGACAAATTCCGTCATTAAGTAACATTTTTGTTCTGCTGTAAAGATGTCCAAATATTTCAGCCACTTTTTTCTGTGTAAATTCTGTTCAGCATTTGTATTTTACAATCAGATTTTTATTGAGGCCACTTCGCGATAATTTTACTATTCAAACCTACAAGATCGAGACTTGATTTTCCATTTTAAATAGTTAGGAACATTTCAAGATCCCGGAAATAAATTTGAAAGTATTTTTTTACGAAAGATTCGTGACAATAACAAACTAAGACATCAGTTTTCTTCATAAATTTGATTGTCAGTGCCGAATTGCAGAAGGTTCTTCGATATCCTTACAAAGGATCTGATTGACATGCCCGGAAGTTATAAATGGCATCATGAGAAAGAGGCGTGAAATTTCATCAAAAGTTTTGCCTCTGCATCTCT